TCAGGTCCCTTCTGACCCTAGAAACTATGAAACTATGACTGTCTTGGTCACTAGATGTTCTTAGTAAGAACATATTTTGTCCAGAGACCAGAAGTATCTTTTAGGTCCACTAACTTCTCACAGATCTGAATGTCATAATGTGTTTCAAAAGCCTGTTAAACTGGCTATTCAAAACTGCTGGCCTATTCACCAGCTAGCCCTCATGAAACTGTCTAGCTTCTTGGTTCCCCTTTTTTTTGTCAACCTGGTTTTCTCATTTGTGGCTCCAACAACCAGAGAGAACTATTAGATTCATAGATTGTTAGGGGCTGGAAGGGACCTTGCAACATCATCGGGTCCAACCCCCTGCACTAGGCAGGAGAGACAACTGAGGTCAGGCGACTGTCCAGTCTCCTCTTGAAGATTTCTAGAGTAGGTGATTGCACTGCCTCTGGAGTCTGCACACCCTAATTGTGAAGAGGTTTTTCCTAGTGTTAAGCCTGAAATGGTCTTCCAGGAGTTTGTGGCCATTACTCCTGGTTTTCCCCACAAGGGTACTATGGTGAACAGTAGTTCACAGAGCCCTTGATGTATTCCCCCAGTGTAATGGTAAGCTGCTACCAAGTCCCCTCTTAGCTTTCTCTTTTTTACGCTGAAGAGAAGTAAGTCCCTCAGCCTTTCCTCATCTGGCTTGCCTTGCAAGTTCCTGATCATACGGGTGGCCGTTCTCTGGCCTCTCTCAAGCTTTTCCACACCCTTGCTGAAGTGCAGCACCTAGAACTGGATGTGGTACTCCAGCTGCAGACTCACCGATGCCGAGTAAAGCAGAATAATTACTTCCCTTGGTTTTGCTTGAGATGCATTGGTTGATGCATGCCAGAGTATTGTTTGCCCTGCTGGCTACAGCATTGCACTGACAGCTCATGTTCATACAATGGTCTATTATTACCCCTAGGTCCCTTTCAGTTGTGGCACTAGTCAGTTTGGTACCACTGAGCCTGTAAGTATGTTGGGGATTGTTCATTCCCAGATGGAGCACTTTACATTTTTCAATGTTGAACTTTATCTGGTTCCGATCCGCCCAACTTGCAATCCTGTCTAGGCCCGCCTGTATCTGCAGCCTATTTTCAAGCGTGCCCAGGCTCCCTTATAATTTGGTGCCATCTGCGAACTTGGCCAGTGACCTCTTCACCTCCACATCCAAGTCATTGATAAAGATGCTGAAAAACACTGAACCAAGCATGGACCCTTGAGGGACATCACTGGCCACTTCTCATCAGAGAAGGGATGTTCAAGATGACAATAAAACTCAACAGTTTTATTGAGCGCATCTGCCTGCCCATTTAATCATAATGTGACATATCATTTTGGCTAGGTCTATTATGGCCTCATTGACTGGCAGGGCTAAACTTATTGTTGCAATATTTCTGCCAGGGAATCTGATTGTTCTGAAACTTCCTTCTTGGGAATTTTAATATGTATTCAACACTCTTAATAAAAACTTGGAAGCCTTCTGTGTCCTCTAAGAATTGGAGCATCAATTTCACCGAAGGTGCAAAGAAGAATGGATCTCTGGATTCTTCCATTTTCTTATCAGTATTTGCAACCACCTGTGAAGAAGCAAAAATGTCCCTAGACACAGGTTCTAGATGTCAACAGATCCTCTGAGTATCAGGAGACCTGTTGGAAGACTACACCAAACTGGATAAAGTAGCACTGCCCGAAGGTGCTGAGATCTGTTAGCAAGTCTATGTGGTGCTGTTCACTAGGTGAGAAGCCATGGTGCAAAACTGGCGATCTGGCACCTGAAAATATTGACCAGGGTTCGTACGAGGAAGATTCAGCCAATTCTGAGGATTACACATGCTTCAGGGGCAGTAGAGAATCTATATACCAGGCCTGTAATGCAGAGAGGTCCACAAAAGTGAGTGATGCTTAATCCTCAACTGGACTGTATCAAGCAAATGACATCAATGTGCCAAACTGTCTGAACTTGGTAGTAAACCAGAAAGCTCTATCATCATAGATGAGTTTTGCACTGCCATAAAGCTCTTTGGCTAGCTGGGTTATTAAGGAATAATTACTCTTGATTAGCTATGTGCCTAGTTGCCTCTGCAGCATTTATCACAGTTCAGAGCCAAGGTGCTTTCTGAGACAAAAACTTTCAAAAATTAAATTTGTGGACTTTTTCTGAGGTTCAAAGGCTGTCATGAACTTTGGAATGCTCTCTGCCTCTAGCTAGACAATTGAGAAGAGCACAGTAGTATCAAATGCATATCACCTTTTATTCCCTCAGCAAAGGGTCATGAGGAGAGGTGGGGCAAGAATGTATTATATTTATAAAATTAAGGTACAAAAGTGTCTCTGGTCTAAGCCCAGGTGAGAGACATCCAGCAGTGAAATTAGATATGTGGGACAGCTGTCTTAAAGAAGTGACATTTAGCTTAAAAGCCAGATGTACACAGAAGCTAGGTTGCACTTACAACAACACTTAAACCATTTTATTTCGGATCCATTTGTTTCACATGGAAGGTGGGAATCCTCAACAACAAGTTAACTTGCTCTAATTGAGTGTCTCAAAAGAAGCAAGATAAAACTAGTACAATCTGCTTAACAAAAAAATCAACAATTTTGTCAAACATGTCACACAGATCTGATTCTCTGGAATGACCCCTTCCAATATGCTAATTTATCTGTGCTGCAATCAGTCACCACATACCTTTTAGCTGTATGTTAGGACAAATACTTAAGCAAGGTTAACAGTTCTGACCACATGAAATGATAATATCAGGGTGGCAAGGGTGCATGAAAAGTGTCAACCATATCCTGGATGTAATTGGTATAACTGAAATTTTCTGTTTGGACAAATGCAGGACTTGTGTTAGAACAATAAATATGCTTGCAAAATGGAAAATACAATATGACGCATGTTTCATTTAATAATACTCCAGTTTTTCTCCTAATATTGGAAATCTTCCTCCTCAAGTTGGTGGGGAGCCAAATCTCTGGCTATGTCTATGTTAACCTGTACAGTTAAACAGGGTAAAAGGGTTTTTTTTCCCCCAAGTAACTCAGAAACTTAAGTTTCAATGAAAGGTAGTAGGATTGAGGCTCTGGTCACCCCTGAAAATGGGGCATGCTCACATGCAGTTTTTATCATCTAGTCAAATGGTTATCGCAGCAATTTTTGCTACATGACTACAGTTTTATGAAACTAAGTATTTGTCTGGCGAAAAGTTATGCATTTGCTTAATTCTCTTCATGGCACTCATCCCAATGAGTTCTTTACATGCAAGTGATGGCAGAAATAACATCAATAAAAATGTATCAAAAGTCTTGGAGTAAGTCAGACTTTCAGAAATAAAAAGCAGGTATCATTAATTTTATGTGCTCTTTAAATTAAGATTTTGAATTTCTTCAGCAATTCCAGACGTGGATCTTTTCTTACACTAATTATTACTGTTTTTAAGAAGCCCATATGAGCTTAAGGGATTCAGAGGGGTTTTAACTTAACTACTCATAAGAGTGTTTAAATACTTTGCTTAAGCTGTTGTTTGTCCTTTGTGGACGGATCTCAGCTATCAGTGCTGTATTGCTGCCTGTCATAATACAGAATAAAGGAATTATGTTTATAAAATAAAAGTAACAAAACAAAATTTGTCATTACAGGTTTTCCCCCCTACCAAATGGGATGCAGTATGTAAAATCTGGATCCATCCAGTTCTTGTAAAGCAAAGCTAGAGGCCCTTTGAATCCATGATTTGCATGGACCCAATTAAAGAACAATAGGCAGGCCACTTAACCTGCTTACAAATCAAGACCCCGATTACTGCAAAATTATTCATATGGGTAAAGCCCCACTGATGTCAATTGGAGCTCATCCCTGAAGGATAATTGGCATATTTGAGGCTCAAATTACTTTTATTTTTTTCAAAGTTATTGCTCCTGTTTCACCTGAACTACATCTTCCTTTTAAAAGATAAATCAAGTCAACATTACCATTTTTCTGCTGTACTTCTGCTTCAGGTGCACGCACAGAGCAAGGAAGTTCAGTATTCATGCTCTCCTCTCCATGCTCCGCAGGCACAGGCTCTTTCTTAATTTGAACTGATGAATCAGGAACAGTGGTGGATGCAATGCTAGCAGAGGTGCTTACATGGGCAGGGGCTCCCAAGGCAGTACTAGAAGGGGATATGTGGGTGGAGAGACATGAAGTATCCAGCAGGGGGAAGAAGGGGCTTGGAGGAAACAGGTCAGCTGTTGTTGTTGTCTGTGTTCTGCTATTTCTTCTTTCATTTGTGATATTGCATGTGAGCTGCTCTGACTGCTCAGAAGGTTCAAATGTTTCTAGAGAAGAAAGGGTGGGAAAAAGGATGCTTATGTGTCATATTAGATATTTAGGGAAGTCACACAGATAAATAAGTAACTTTGATAAACAACTCCCAAGGAAAGAGACTGGAGTAAAAAGACATTGCAAAAATTTACTGGGCCACTAGATGTCACTCTAATTTAAAAAAAATGGATCAGGTCTAAATAGTTGGGAACTTGGAACAAACCAGTAGAAATGGATGAGGAGGGAAGCTTACTAAAACATTCTAGTCTGAATTGTTCCTGGAAATGCAGAGTGAAACCAAATATAGAATCTCTTCAAGGCTGGAGCTTATAAAATATATAGCAGAGTACCAATCCAGCAATTTCATTATATCCTCATACCTTGTAGCCCCTGCAGGATCTGGATTCTGCGACTCCTCAATGTACTCATCTCCATTGTTATCTGTGAAATAAAAGGGATGTAAAAATCAGCCACATCAAGGCAATTCTTGAGGCCGTTCATTTCTCAGACAACTTAAAGCTGAGTGTTACCTGCTGTTTTAATACAAGGAACCGCTGAACTTCAACATAGGCTGCCTGTAGAGCTGTCCGAGCTTGCAAGAGGCTATTGTCCACACTGTGCAAGGACTTGCTCAGCTCTTCTTCCCTCAAGGAAATAGCCAACAATTGGTCTACCTGGGAACGCTCTTTAGGAGAAAAAAAAGCATAATTTAGAGTACAGCTCAAATTTTAGTATTAGTTTTAATAGGTCAGTTAGGGAGACATCTTAGTAGATGCTTTCTTATCACAGTACTTTCGGAAAGTACTCATAGCTCACAAGATAAGAAGTAGTAGGCTGTTGCTTATGAAACCTTATGCTCTGAACCAAGAAGCCATTCTCCCCTGCTTTCTGCCTTACTAGGTAAGTAGAAAATATCAGTGTTTGGACAAAAGACTGCAAAAAGAAAGAAAACTGAACTAGATCTCCCTATGGGAACTTTTACCTCACTGTCAAAGCACTCTAAAATTATGTAATAGAGTACAACCAATGCAAACTTAATTAGAAAAGCCTGGCTTGGCAAAGAGCTCTAAAAAAAAAAGGGATGTACATATACATATACACACGACCTTAACGTTATATAGTACATCAGTTAATGAACATGTGGGACCATGGCAGTTTGAGCAGTGAGAAAAGTATACTGGGCATCTCAGTTCAGTGTTTGGGAAAAGCTCTATTCCAGGGTTCAGTTTCTTAGACATAAGAAGCTGAAGATCCTCAGTGATTAGCCAGCTTGTGCTTCTGCACAAGGTCACTGCTGCCCCTGAAAATCTCCAATACTGTTGGTAGTTTCAACCTGTACATTATACTTGAGGTACCCCAAAGTGGGCACATTACGTAAGAGTAATGCTGAAACAGAATGGCTTTCATGTTTTGTGCACTAAAACGGAGACATAAAGATCAACTCACCAAGCAAAATGCAGTCTGTAAAGGATCATTCAGGATACAAGCTAATAAAGAAAGTCTTAGTTCCTAGAATAGGAACTAAGACTCCATATATTAACTGTGCTGCATTTTGCAAACACCTGTTCTAAATACTGAATGAGACTGAATATTAAAAGATCCAAAGACTAGAGAACCAAATTGATGGTCTCAAACTTCCATTATATGCCTACTGTGATTATTTGATTCCCAAAGATACGTGTTGTCTGAATAAACAGGAATAAATAACAAGCTCCCCATATACAGCAAGGAAAGTGTTAGGGATACCTGTCCAGCTACAAGTTAGAGGTGCCCTTCATTTATGAAGGAAAAAGGAACTGGGCATACTACTTCTTTTCCAGCAGGGGAGGAAGCAAGGCAGAAGGAAAATAAAAAGCTGGAGGTAAAAAACAAAAGCAACTGAACATGGTGCAGTAAAATACCCAACCAAGATTAAAGGTCTCCTAGCAAGGCTGCACACAAATGCAAGATGCCAAATTGGTGAAGATTAATAGGTACTTCTATAACCTTAGAATTTCACTGAGGGATGAAGTAATCATAAAAAGTTTTCCCATTCTTTTCTATGCAAGGAAAAGCTGAAGGTTCACATTGGTATGGCTTGGGAAACAGATGGGAGAGGAAGTTCTCTCACTGATAACACTTATAAAGACCAAGTCTTAAACTCTTAAAGGATGCGTCAAGGGGATAGACCAGAAATATACTTCTGCCCAATAAACAAGTCTTTCAGTAGGTCAGGGTAGGGACTTTTGTTTTGTTTAAGACAGTCTTAAGGGAGATCACTGATGACAAACAGCAGCTACTCGTTTTAAACAGACTGCTGTAGCAATCCAAATTCTCATGATCTTGAATTATCATTTAACTGTTTCTTCTACTTTGCTATTGGGGTTTCACAAAAAAGGCCTCTAAGAAAAAAAAATCAAGGCTCTGGAAGAGGAAATAACAAATAGGTCTATTTCCAGGTGGAAGAATGGAATCATTTTTCAAAAACTGGGCCTTTACAGAAAGAATAGCAAGGGACACTGATATAGCAGACTGTCTTATCCTAACTTGCTTGCTTTTGGAGATTCCCTATCCAAGAGCAAACAGAAAGAAGACTTCACATACGTTACAAAGAGTCCTTTGAAAGACAAAGGAAGCAGAGTTCTCTTGAGCTTCTCTGAAGCTTTTATGAAATTAACTTTGTGATGGAAAACAGGAAGAAAACAAAGCCTATTTTTATCTAAAACATGATCTTTGGATGAATAAACTGTCCTTTGAGTAAAGGTTGCCACCTTTTCTGAAGGGAGGGTTTCTTCTACTTCTAGGAATAAAACCTTTCTAACTCCCATCTGAGCTTGGTTGTGGGGCCAGGGCAGGGAAGGAGGGAAGAGTATGGAAGTTATTCCACTGATTCCCAGAAACCAAAAAGGGGTTTCTGAGATTGACAGTAGCAGCCTGATACAGACAAACTCCCAACCTTGATTAGTCCTGGTTATAATGGTTCCACCCACAAGGCAAAGCATAAGGAATGGGATTTGCAAAATAGGCCCACTACCAAGGAAAAACAGCCATAAGAGGGGCATGTGTGTGCCTTCTCCATCTCATAACTTTGCTAGAGCCTGGGAGACAAGCTGACTTCCACAAAAACCCAGACAAGAACCAGCTGCATCTGCTTCCAGCAAGACAGAGCAGAAGAGACCTGAGTGCGCATCAAGAGGAGGAGGAGCTGAGTACAAATGTTCTACAGGCAGAATGATCTATTACCAGCTTGACCTGGGGAGGAGAGGGAGTGAACTCATCTATTCAGTCATACTAACAACAATCATATTATGCAAACCAGCTCTCCTTTGAGACACTCATGTTGGTAAGAACAGGTAACTGGTAAGGTACATGATCAAAGTAACAAACAACCTGCCAGGTATACAGCTCTGATATCCCAATTCTAGCACATGCCTTAATTCCATCCTTCCCCTCCACAAACAGAAAATGTAATTAAAAGTATTAAAACAAGATTCCAAGGGGGACAAAGCATTTTACCAAAGACTTTTCTTTTTAATTTAAAATTTTGCTAGCATTCAGCTCGCTCAAAATTACTCACCTCTTTTGCCTTTAATTTTCCTCCTTTTATTCTTTCTTTCTAGACTTGGAATTTCAGGAGAGGATCCCTCCTAAAAATTAAAAATAAAATTCTTCATTAGCTGACGTTAGAACAGTATGTTGGTAATTTAGTTTTCATTCTATATCTGTCACAAGAGCTATGTCAAAAAGCTAATAAATATGTACCAATTCTTTTCAATTCAAGTCTTGAGAATATGTGCATTCTGTAAATATCATTCACTTATACCTTGTCCTACCCCAGTATAGTAAGAGCAGAAAATGAGTTTCCCATTTCTACCCCACGGTACGAGATATTATACAGCAAGCCACACTTCACATTGTCACATGTCCAAGTGTACTAAACACTTGGGCCAACACATTCTACTTCATAATTTTCTGCTGCCATTTCCTGTGGTAGGACCATGAATGGGAACATAAAACTAGTTACAATAAGAAGGCCAAATGGGAAAAAAAATGGATGTTAAAATGTGATCAGCTCTTAGACTACTCAAATGTATGCAAGTAGAGAAAAATTTTAGATAAGTTGGGGTGAAATTTCCCTTTCTGATGCTTTTCTACCCTTACAAAGGTAAATCCAGAGGCTGTGTGGTGACACAGTTGTACCTTCCCCCTTTCCACAGTATAGCTTGATGCTCCAGCTCCCTGGAGCCCAGATACCTGGGTCCCCTGAGGCCTTTTTTAAGTCCTTGAAGCAGGTAAGATTCATGCCCCTGCTCTCAGAACCCCCTTTTTCCCTCTATGCTCAGCACCACCTCCCTTCTCTTCTCACCCTCTCTACTTAAGCCACTGGATGCAGAAAGGGGAGACCTGTCCAATGCTGCTGCCCCCAGCTGACCTAGGCTGTGGAAGCCCCCAAGCCATTCTTCCTGTCCTGCTCTAGCTAGGGCTGTGAGGAACAGTTGCAGAGACAGCCTGGCTCAGCTGGGGAAAGCAACAGCAGCAGTGGGCAGATGTCCCCTTTCTGCATCCAGAGGAAGGGGCAGGGGGGTCCTGTCCCCACCTGGGCCCCCCGGGTGCTCCCCCCAGA